GTCTTCAAAGGCAGCAGGTTTAAAACGCCAGCAGAGTGCCACATTATCTGTACCACACTGTTATTTTTAACCATCCATAGCTCCATCCTCCTACATTCACTTTCCTCCTGAGGCTTCTTTCCACACCTTTGTTTTTCCCACTGCTGCAGTCTCCTGACCTGCTTCTTTCTCAGACGCAGTGCTCACCCTTTGCTCTTTTCCCTGCTGATGCCTTTCACAGCATGCACCCTCCACATTGCTCATTAGTGCCTCTGCTTGAAGAGGCACATCTTTCTTTGCAAGTGACTCCCCAGTCCTTATCTCTAGTTGTGCCCCAGTTATCAGGCAGGTGCATCGATAAGAAGGATGATCAGTGCTGGGCTGAGGACCCACAGTGCAGGAGAGGAGAGAGTATGGATTAATTCTGGTGTGGGAGAAAGAGGAAGGTGTGACAGGAAAAGCAAGACAGCTGCAGCATCCATATCTTCAGGGCAGAGCTACTGAATCTGCAATGCATTTTAAGGCTTATACACATCTAGAATAGAAATAACCTATAGCTATATTGGGTACAGTCAGCAGCTCATTCCTGATGGGATCCTCCCTACCTCCTGTCTTACAGCACCTCACTTCTTACTTGGTCATTTTCTACATCCCACAGGGGATCCAAAGAGGATTTCTCCCTTTCTATCAACATGGCAGCAGCTTCCCTACTCTTCCTTCATCCACATTTCCCAGCAGTTTACTTCAGTTTTTGGTTTTTCCCTTTCCTTCCCATTCCTTGACTCTGCCTGCCCTTGTGACAGAGAAACGAAGAGACTCTTGAATCAAATGTTTTCCCTGGCCCTTCCTCATGCTATCATTTCTCTTTAAGTGCCAAGCTCCAGAGTGGTCTCAGATGTTCCTTCCTCTCTGTGCTCCCTGCACCTCATGTCAATAATTTCTTCTGAAAAAATGTCACATGCTTTTCTGCTCAAGCTCCCTCTCACTTTTCAGGGTAACTCATGTCCTCTTTGTAACACCTAATAACCTTCCTGGACCTGCACTTTCAGGTCCTCCTACCCTTTCTTTCATTGCTTTCTGTGCACACTGTATACTGTATTGCCACTTTAGTTATTTTGTTCTCATTCCTATCTTCCTCTCTTCTTTCATGCAGTATTTTATGTTTGTCAAGTATCTGTCTACTACATACAGTCTCTCTCCTCACAAGAGACAGGACCACATAGGTTATATGAACAGGTTATAAGGAGAGATTTTATGTGCCCCAAAGCACATTTTCCTCTGTTGCTCCAATACAAACATTTCCTCTGCCATCAAAACTTTCCCTCTAAATCCTTGATTATTGTGGCTACAACCACCCAGTTTCTTTCTCAATGCACACCACCTGCAATGATTATCTAGGGGATGGTCCTCTACCTTCAGCTGATGCACCTCAACTCTCCAGTTGTGGCACATCCAGATGTGGCCAGAGTGGCACATGTCATGGCAGACATGAGGCTTCTGCAAACAGAAACTCTCTTTTCCCTAATCCTGGGGTAAATAACACAGAAAACCTTATAGCAGTGGACTGCCTGTGCATTTTCACCAAATTCAGAAAAAAAACCCAGAACATCATTCCTTTTCTATAAGAAGCTTTAAGGCTGGTTTGAAAGACAAACAGTCCCCCCATGACAGATCGCATCTTCAACAGGGCCAGTGAAATAGTATGACAAGGGTGGTGATTAACTCTCCCCACAAAGGAAAATGTTGAGTCGATGTAGGTGGCATATAAAATCCCCCACTCTCTTTATGAGTCAGGTAAGCTGCCAGAAAGCAGAGGTGGAATCCGTGGGATGAAGCTGTTTTCATTCCCGCCAGTTAGTAGTACGCTTTTTGAAAGACAAGAGGAAAGTTTAATTATTAAATCACATAAAAAAAAAAAAAAGCCAAGATTCTTATTTAAATAACAAAATCTAACGTTTGCCCTTGATCCCCAGTGATGCTGTTTGTAGTCAGTTACTGTCAAGGGGAAATACTATTAACTCCACCTCTTACACCCTGAGGTTAATGTAGCATTTTTGGGTTATGCATCTATTATTTCATCTCCCACCCAGTGCACATGATCCTACAGTCACAGCATTCTCCTCTCCCTCTGGCTCCAGAAAAAAGGGAAGCTGATGAGCCAAGGTCCCAGTCTCACCCCACACAGAGCCATTTTCAGAGGCAGAGCTTAGCTCTGATGAGAAAACTATTTCTCTCCCAATACCTGCACAGAAATGGCTTAACAAACATATAAAACAAAGTCATTGGAAACAAAGCATTTTGTAGGGTCTTACTTTGAATCAGTCCAGAATTCAAGGGGTAATTCAAATAGATGGCAGCGTCCCTTACCTAAAGTTACAGACTTTTCATAACCAAACCCCAGAAATTTAGGAATGTGAAAAAAATGCCCTTGGGTCCTCGAGTTCAGGGGTTACAGCCCTCCTCTGGCACTGTCAGTGGGAGCACAATGACTGCTCTGATCACAGTGCAGCCTGACTGAGCTGCTCTCGCAAGTCCAGTTCTGAATTCAGGAACATTTCCCACATAGCTAATTTAGTCTACACAATACATGTGTTTGATGATGGGCAGAAGCAGCGTATTTCAGGTGCTGAGAAAGGGATGCAATAGGACGAGACTACCAGCATGTGTCATTTCTTTGCTTCAGCTGAAGAATGGAAGATCTGGAGTAGAGACAAATGTATACATACATGTATATGTAAAGGTAAGGATGGGGGACAACAGTGATCAAAGGAACGGTGTGGAGAAAAAATGTGAAGAGGAAAGCAGAGTAAGGCAGGGGACTGAATTGAGATGTCAGAAAACAGGCAGCAGGACAGGGTATCAGAACAGAAAAAGAAGGGGGTAGGGGAAGACAGAAGAAAACATATGAAAAGGGAGAAAAATGAGAGAAAAGGCACGAGCAGACAAAAAGCAGGGAGAAGAGGAAAGGTAAGCAGCACAATGCTTGGCAAGAAAGCAATACCAAAGCATAAATAAGACACAGACAAAAGACACTCAGAGGGGTCATAAGAAGAAAGCCCTTGAACAGCACAGAAGATGTGAAATAAGCAGTTGGAGGAAAAAAATCACCTGCCAGAACAGCACTTCCGAGAGTCACGGGTGAAAGGTGCTGCTGCCTCAATGAGGGACAGAGACAAGCCTTGGGAAGTGACAGGCTAAACCCAGGAGAAAAAAGGATGACGCCAGGAGAAGACAAATGATACTCTGGTACTAAGTTGCTGTCTTCTGTCTAAAATAGAAATCATGAAGGTCATTGAAATTGCCACTTAGATATTGCACCTGAAACTTAAGAAAAACCCCACTTATTTTTCTCAATACAGTAATTTTTCCTCCTTCTCTCCCAGCGTTGGATTAAATTAATTATTGTACACTTCACAATTGTACCTTCCTGCCAGTGAAGAAAACCCCATTATGCCTGGAGCAGGCCTTGCTCTCTGGCTTCTTTTGCCTACAGAGGCTTCTGTAGGAAACTTTCAGTAGACAAAGCTGGATTTCCGGCAGCTCCAAAATCACCATGGTGGAGCTGGGTATCATTAGCAGGATGAGGAAAGCAAGGGGAAGCAAACAGGGGCATGCACTCAAAGAAAAGCTTTTTTTTTGTTTTTATAATTAGGAAATCTTGCCAATAGAAAGAAAAAAATTGCTACTGGCAAGTAATGTGTCACTCCTTTGCACACTGAATAACAGGAATATGAGAGGAGGTGTGGGACATACATTCATAGGATCAAATTCTGTTGTTAACATGGCTTCAACATATTAAAACATAATCGGGAAAATACCACACTATAACACAAACACTATGGAGGCTATAGAGTAAAAACCCCAGGAAGATCAAACTGTGTTCCACAGCTTTATTAGTAGTAACAGGAGCAACATATGGAGATGAATGAAACCGTATTTGTAAATGCAATATGCAATTGCACACTCTCGCCTGGCTTTCCTTTTTCACGATCTGACTCAGCCTCCACATGGCTCCACTCCCCCATCTTTTGATTCATAAATTCTTGATCTCAAAAAACTGAAGCGTTACAAAGCCAGCATGCAAAGGGCATGATATGATGGGACGTTGGTGAGTGCAAAACGTGTCATCACCCTGCAAATGGACAAATCTGGCAGCAGAGCCAGAGCCACTGTCCCGAGGGGTGCTGGGGGATGCCGTGCAGCACATCACAGCTCCCCTCCGCTGCGCTAGAGACAGGCGCTGAGGTAGACAAACCTATTACAGAATTGTGTAACATTGCTTACGCTGCATGGCAGCCAGTTCGTGGAGCAGTCCCTGCATCACCAAACCCTGAGGATGGGACATAAGAGGAATGAGAAATAAAAGGATATCTCATGGCATATGCACTCTGTATGTCTTAACCTATGACAAAGAGATGCAGGTTAACAGCAAGCTGTGCGAAACACACCAAACAGTGCATGAGAGACGGTGTACAGCCCTATATACTTAATAAATGATTAACAATACACAGTGTTGTCATAGAGGTGTCTGTAGGCAGGAACAGCACCTTCCCATTAGGCCTGGGTTCCGCAGCGTGTGTTAGGCTGTAGACAGCCAGCCTAGCCCATCAGCACCACCCGCCCAGGCCAGCGGTGCTCCAGGCGGAACTGCAGCCCCGGGACCCCGCCGCCTTGCCCAGGCCCGGGCATGTGCTTCACCCTCAGCCCCCCGATAACCGGGGCGCGGTTAGCTCCGGCGCTACGCTTGCCACAACGACAGCAAAGCACAGGCAAGGCTGACGCGGGATGTGTGTATGTCTGCCATGCCCGAAGCACAACGAAGCCCTGACCCTGCTGAGCTCAGGCTCCAGCCACAATGCACGCCACCGTTACCCATGCGCAGCGTTACGGTACAAGCTGCATCGCAAAGAGCATACTTGGACAGCGCAAACCCCGCTGCAGACCCTTCCGGCGCGCAGCGCACGGCGCAGCGGCACCACAGCCCGCACCACAGGCAGCCAGCGCAGTACGGAGAATCTTGCCTGCTACGCGTCTGGGCTCCTCCGCAGGCGCCGAGCGCGGCGGCGGGGCTGGGGGCTGCTCGCTGCCGCTCCGCGCCGGGCGGACCGTGGGACCCGCCTCCGCCGGCCGCGGGAGCAAGGGCCGGGCTGCAGCCGAGGAACGCCTCGCTCTGCGCCGCTGCGGGCCACGCTGGGCCGGGCCTCGCCGCCCATGTGCCGCCCCGCCAGCCCCGCCTCTGCGGGCTCCCGCCGCGGGGCCGCCGCCGACCGGGGGCGGGGCGAGCGGCTCGGGCGCTGCGGCGGCGGCTGCGCAGGGCGCTCGGCACGGCTTCGGCGGCGGTGGACAGGCACCTGCGGCCGCCCTCGCCCGCAGCGGGCAGGCGGGCCGCGCCGCGCCGCACTTCGTCGGGGGCTGAGCGGAGCTCCCGGCCCCAGCGGCGCACGGCCCGGCCCGGCCCAGCGCGGCGAGCGGCGGCTCTCGGGGCGTCGCCTGGCTCCGGCGGCCTGGGCACCGCGGGGAGAGTGAATGAGAGTTTGCTCCGATTTACGAGCAGGGTGAGTGTCTCGGCGGGCCGCCTTCGGGGCAGGAGTATGAATCATGGTCGGGGGGTTTGTTTCCGTACGGGCCGTTCCATCCCCATCCCGGTCCCGAGCTCCTCAGGCCGGGGCGGTGGGGACCCGCCGGGCTGGGACAGACGCGTCCCCTCAGCCCTGGGCAGGGCAGCGTGCCTCCCGCCGGACCGGGCCGAGCCCGTCGTTCCGGGCCGGGCACCCGCGGAGGGGCTGCTTCCTCCATTCTCGCTGTCGCCTTTTGTTCGTGTCTGCCAGGGCTGCTAGGGAAGGGGGCTACGGGAGGAGACCCCGGGGAGCTGTACCGGCGGATCAGCTTTCCGGGCCTTTTCCATCCATTTGCGGGTAACGGAGACCGTCCCCATGGGCGCTGGGATGTCCGGCTGCCCCCGTCCGCCGTCCCGGGGCCGGGGATCAGTTCTGTTCCGCTCCCTGTGCCCCTCCAGCGCGGAGCAGCCGTGCCCTGCCGCCACCGTCCCGGTGGAACGCGGAGCCGGGAGTCCCAAGCTGTAGTAAACACAGCGTAGGGAGGGTGGCGGTGAACCCGGTAAAGGTCACATCTTCATGTGTGAGCGCAGCTCGCCCTAGCCGCTCTCCCGAGGTGATGTCGTCCTGTGCTGTGCACGCTGTCGCTGCCAGCCCTGCTCCTCGCCTGCTCTCCGCGGGCTGCGATCGCGGTGGTATTCCCTACAGCTGCTGGCAGGGTTCTCCCGTGGTGGGGGGAACAGTGCGAGCTGCATCGGACCCCTGCTTTACCTCATCCGGCCCCTGTCGGGGGGGGGGGAAATGGGATGGCATCCGAATGGGAAATTAGACCTGGGAACCTTGTGAGGGTTGCTTTATTTAAAGCAGGGATCCCGTGCTCTGTGTTACCTGACAGCGTTCTGCCTTAGTTTCTAATATGTGATAAGTAGTTTCATTCCTCAGGATTAGAGATATCAGCTATCTTGAACCTTTTTGGTTTTTTTTTTTGTTTTTAAATGCCACATCTAGTTACCAGCTGCCATCAGTTGTTCAGAAAGCGAAGGCTTTTTTTAGTCCTAGTCTGTGCGCTTCTGAAGCTGACATTTAAGCTACTAGCTGTGAAACTGATGAAATATAAACTTAATTGTTGGTGCTATAATACCAAATTATGTAAAAATCTGTGAAAGCCTGAGTTGTGTTTCACTGTGTTTCATACGGTGGCCACAAGTATGTTTGGCTCGTCCCTCTGTCATAATAAAGGTGGCTTTGGGCTGAGATGCCAGACTGAACTAAAGATGAGCCATGTCGTGCTTCCAGCGTTGCAGGTAAGCTCTCGGAGGTGATTTTGGCTGGTGGCAGGCTAAAGCGTCAGACTTTTGGGTTTGCTTTTGTTTCCCCTTTTAATTGTGGCACTGGTGAGACCTGGTCTGGTCCGTGTGTCCTCAGTAAGGGGTTGACTGTTGAGTGGCATGGGGGAGGCTGCTGCTGCTTGAATGCACATGTGCCACTCCTTGGCATAGTGCTGCTTCTGCTGTGGGTGAAGGTATCACCCAGGCTTAGACCTCCCTCCTGCCTGCCTTGCTGGCATTGCTGTGGCCTGGGGACTTGCCCTCAGTGCCTGTGACAGAGGGAGGAATTAAGGGCAGCAGCTGGGAAAAGTTTGTCCTGGCTCTAATTTTTGATGGGACCCTGTTTTGGAGACTGATAGAGGGAAAATCGGGGGGGGTACCACGCAGACCTGCTGTCTTCCTGGCTGGAAGCTATTTCCTGGTGGTTTACAGCAAGTAGCCAGTGCAGAAGCTGTTCCCCAGCCCTAAACCTCCTCTTCCTCCTGGCATGTGGTACTCAGAGCTTGTAGGAACTGAAGTTCATTAGATGAGTATCTGGGACAGTATCAGCTGCCAAAGTGCCGATGGTTTTTGAGACCTAGGGCTAAAAATTCCAAACACATGTTTAATATTTAGTTTTGGTAAGGGAACTTCTGCAGTGTCTGAGAATGATTAGTGCTGCTGTTAAAAGTCAGGTGTATGTATGACGTGCATGTGTTACTACACATGTCTGTTGTGACTTCAGTCTCACTGACTATTCACTCTTTAATACAGAGACTTCAAAGCTAAGGAGGAGCACTACCTGTTTAACCCCCAAAGCAGTGACAGATCTGTTGGAAAATTAACAAAGACCCAGTCTGACGTTTTGTCTACTTAAAGTCATGGGTTTTGTGACTCAGTCACCACCAAATCCATAGGGATTCTTGAGACAAGAATCCATCTCAAGACTGTGTTTTGTGTACCATATGGTCCCATTAACAGTTTCATGGTGAATATCTTTTTTATTTAAGTAATGGATCACATTTCCTGTTGTTTTGTTTCTTGTAGGTCTGCAAAATAAATGCTATTCAGGAATGATTGAGGCAAGTGCAACACGTACCTTGCTGTATTTTTGGAGTCAAAGCTATGTAGCTGTTCAGTGGCTTGTCCTGGTCTCTTCCTCCCTTTCCTTAACCCCAGTGTTTATCAGGCTTAGAAGTGATACTATTTTAACTTTGAAGTCCCTAAAGCCCTGGATGTTGCCAGAATACTCCAGGATTATGTGCAGAGAAATCTGCCATCCCAAACTGAGGGCTCTCTTGTCCAAAAATGACTGTGTCAGGCCCCAGTAAAGTACACAATTTTCTAGCTTAATCTTGTAATATGTTTCCTTTTCTTTCCTAGGTAGATTTTTCTCAGTTAAATGATATCTGCATGGCAGCATCTATGCTAGGAGAGATTACTTTCCTCTAATATGTTATTTTTATGACACAGAGTTTTATCAGAGGGAGAACTTTTGACAGTAAATACTTAATCAAGGTCTTCCAAAAGAGATTCTCTGCCCACTGCCCCTGACCTTGGAAGGTGGCAGGTTAACCCATGAAATAATATGTGCAGAGAAATACAGCTATTGCATGCAGTTTTTGGGTCATAATGTTGGATGCTTCTAAGGTTTATGTGTTTTCATCTTTCAAGTTTCTGGACAGATGCAGGTTTTTTAATCTTCTGGCCATTGTCATTGGTATGGGGGGACACAACACGTGAAAGAGGGAAGTTAGACCTTTTCCCAGGAGCTCAGAATTTATTAAAACAGTTAGAGTTAGTGCGAACTCACCTTAAAATTTAATGAGTTAGTGCTGCTTGTTGTTATGACATAAGAAAATGAAATAAGGAGTCTTTGAAGCCACTTCAGGCTTCATAAATATTAATAAGCTCTGCAGTCTTCACACAGAATAAATTCTGGATGTTTTTTCTTCACCTTAATAGTACAGTTTCTTTTGCACAGTAAATTTTCTTGCCTTGACTAAGCTGAAAGAGCAGTTGCTGGATGCAAACCAAAAATACTGTATTTGTGGTTAGGTTTTCCCCTCCTGCCTTTAACACCCAGTCCTTTCTCTTGGTACACTCTCTGGTAACAAGTTTAATTCCATGACTTATAAAACCACATCTCCAGGGGTGCTTAGGTGATTGAAGATGCTTTTTTTTTCTTTTTTTTTTTTTTCTTCTTTTTTTTTTTCTCTTCCGAGAATAGCGGAAGGTAAAGATTCCCAACATGTTCAGTCGTGTTTGGAAAATCATTTCTATTTGCATCTTGGGTCACCATATGTGTTTAATACTTGCCTGTGTTAATGAGGAAAAAAAACCCTAAACTCTGGCAGAATTTTCTAAGCATGCCTTGAGAATACTTAATATTGTCTCTTGTAGTTTAAAAGCTGCATATGTATCTTAATGGAACTGAAATTCCACTTAGTTGCTGCTTCTTGCAAATCCCAAGTTAATGCAGAAAGTTCTTTGTGGTGGTCTGTGAAGAACGTATCATCTGTTCTAGTACACATTAAACGAGTGCATCAGACTTACTGAAAGACTTCAAGGTGTCTCATGGGTGACTGAAGAAAACTAGTCTTTATTTCACAGAGGAGTTGAGGTTGGAAGGGACCTCTGGAAGTCATCTGTCCAACCCCCTGTGAAAGCAGGGACACCTAGAGCTGTTTGCTCAGGCCCATGGCCAGGCAGCTTTTGTATACTTCCAAGGATGGAGACTACACAACCTCTCTGGGCAACCTGTGCCAGTGCTTGGTCACCCTCACAGTGAAAAGGTGTTTCCTGATACTCAGAGGGAACTTCCTATGTTTCAGCTTGTGTCCGTTGCCTCTGGTCCTGTCACTCGGCACCAGTGAAAAAAGCCTGGCTCTGCCATCTATGCACCCTTCCTTCAGGTATCTGTATACATCGATAAGATCCCCTGCCTGAAGCCTTCCTTCTCTTCTGCAGGCTGAACAGCCTCAGCTCTCTCAGCCTTTCCTCACAGGAGAGGCGCTCGAGTGCCTTCATCATCTTCATGGCCCTTTACTGGACTTTCCTTAGTATGTCCATGTCTGTCTTGTACTGGCACCCTCAGAGCTGGATACAGTACTACAGGACTCACATTTCCTAGTATGCTATAAAAATAAGGAACTTCCAAAGTAAATTTTGAGCATATTTTTTTAGGATGCAAGTCTGAGAGGTCAGCTTGGTGCCTCCAGTCACTGATGCAGCTTCTCTGAGTGCTGTTGCTCTTCTTCAGGAGCTGATGTTCCTGATTAAAAAACCCAAATGCTCAGCATTTTCTTGATCAGTGCAGGTTTTGACACTCTTTTGACCTGTGATTAAGGGGTGTATGACTAGGTTTGCTGCTTACACATGCCTATTGAGTGTAATCATTAGATGCTGAGTCACATGTGTACGTGTTTTTCTTGGGGTGTATTCATACAGACTTCTGTCTGAAACAGAGTTTGTTTCAATTTTGAGTGAATGCTTGTTTACATTTGTGAAGGCACATCCTTGCTGTGGGCTAGTTTAGTTCTTCAGCATCCATCCCATGCTGCACTGTATCGGGGGTGACCTGCCTACTCCATGGGCACTCTCTACATTACTGTATTTCCCTTGTGACATGCCTGAGGTTGAGCATCTGTCTGTAAACTAAATCAAGTGAAGTTTGGATGATTCCTTACTCTG